AATAAAAAACTAATTCAAAATAATAGTCCACTGTTAGAAATAAGGAAAGTTTGGTTTCAAATAAATGTAAAGGCTTGGAGACCAATGAATCATTAAACTGTGATATACTAGGACCAAGTGCCTTCAAGACAAATACTGTAACTCTGTAACTTGATCTGCCAAAGCTGGCTTTAGGCAGACTTGCTTAAGTCAAAATGGATCAAGAAACTTGCTAAGCTCTTATGTTTTGGATCTGAAAATTTTGTACATGATTATACTTTTTTCTCTGAATGTGTTTCTCAGAACTGGCAGAGTCTGAGTGATTAGTCAGGTAGCTCCTACATAAGCCTAGCAGACTTTTAGATTCCCAGGAAATGAAAAAAGAGCTTTCATCTTATCCCTGTTCAGTTCTTTTAAAAAAATATTCTAAGATACATTATGTCAGGAGAAAATGCCGGGCTTTGGATTCTGAGTGGATGGAAGCATCCTCCTTGCATCCTCGATTTTTGAAACTGAGTTCAAAACATGGCATCTTCTGTGAGCTGTATCTACACGGCTGTGTTAACAACATGTAGTATTTTGGATCTTTTTTCTGAAATACCTGTTTTTCCTCATGCATTCGTACAGTTTAAATTTTTTCCTTTGCAGCTGAGATTTTGAAGTGTTATAAAGTTAATGACTATGCTCAAGAAACCTAAGAACCTTACTAGATCTATCCCAAACTCCTTTCTCTCCACATTAAACATGTTAATATTTTATGGTATTGCGTCTTTATAGAATGGAAACTTTTAATTGAATGGAAGTATTAAACTCTACAGATGTTCACAGAAGGTTGGGTTCTGTGAAAATCTGATGGTTTTTTTCAGTATGAGATAGCATTCTATGTTGCTTTGACTCCTAGCTTGTGAAAATATGTAGTGTGAAATAAAGCAGAGAGCTACATTAACTCTACAAAACTGAAAGATGGCTTTGGAATTAACTCAGGTTAGTGGGTTGCCCTACTGAAACTGCTACTTTTCAGTGTGTGAACTGCTGGCAAAAGAGAAGTTTATAAGTATAGGAGGTTTTGTTTTGAGTGAATTAATTATAAATTTCAATGTTTATTTTCTGGCAACAATGTGTATAGAATATTAATTTGTTACTTCAAACACAGCTTAACGTGTCAATAGTTTCTGCCTTCTGAAATTGTTATAAGGAAGCACTGCCGGTGTTAGTTACCAGAAAGCATTGCATGTCTGCTTCCAACTTAATGTAAAACTTTTTTTGATCAGGATTATATTTGACAATTTAATTAGATAGTCATAAATTTTGATTTATTGCAAAAATAATGTGCAAGTGGTCAACTATAGCAACAACAAGTTAGAGCTAGAAGAGGCTTTTTGTTTCAATGTAATTATTTGTATATGTATACAGATTTAGTACATTTAATTGTGTTGATTTACTAGTTTTCACTTCTAGGAATTTTTTAGACAAGGTAGGGGTTTTTTGTGTTTTGTTAATTGAATTCTTCGCCCTTCACTATGTTCATTCAGGTAGAATACCTTATGCTGTCACTGTTTCCCCTTGTGCTTTGGTGTCTGCACATACCCAATATCCTATAAAACTGCTGATTGAAATGTTGGGGGTTTTTTAAAAGGATTTTTCTATTTCTTCATATTACTGCTTTTCATTATTTTCCTCTCCCAATGCTATAGCTGTGCTCTGTGTATGCAGAATACTAAGAACTATCTCTGCATCTTTTTATATCTATAGATACAGATTATTAAGATAACAATAGACAACATTTTGCCATGTGTACTTGTACAGTAAATGAGGGGGTTTATTTCATTATATAAAAGCTCGTAACAACTTGCTGTTCGCCTCTGCGTGTGGTGGGTTGACCCTGGCTGAAAACTGGGTGCCCTCCAAAGCCGCTCTGTTCCTCCACTTCCTCGGGTGGACAGGGGAGAGAAAATATAAACAAAAAGCTTCTGGGTTGAGATAAGGACAGGGAGAGATCACTCACGTGTTACCGTTACAGGCAAAACAGACTCAGCTTGGGGAAATTAATTTAGTTTATTACCAATCAAATCAGAGTAGGGTAATGAGAAATAAATGCTAGATCTTAAAACACCTTTCCCTCAAGCCTCCCTTCTTCCTGGGCTCAATTTCACTCGTGATTTCTCTGTCTCCTCCCTGCCAGTGGCACAGAGGAATGGGGGTTGCAGTTAGTTATCCCAGAGGTGTGGGAAACCTCGGCTGGTTTCTTCTTAAATCACAAACTGTCAATTTCAATAAGAAATTGTGTGCTGCCCGTGGGGCCCCACGTTGGGCGCCATTTGCGGTGGGATTCAGACGCAGACCAATATGATCGTGCTGAAGCTCAACTTTATTGTTTTAACAGACTCTTTTATATCTTTCTTACAAACATGTGTCCATGTATAATTGGCTCCCTCAAAGTCCACCAGTTCATGATTGGATGACTTCCTCCTTCTTTGTTCTCTACTGTAACTTCAGTAACTTTCCTCTGCTGGTAGTCTGACAGGTCCTTAATCTTATTCACGCCCTTCTTCTCAGGACTCTCAGGCCTCTTCAAGGATACACAGGTGTCTCCTCAAGGCCGATGTTAAGCTCACATTTCGGGTGGACAGGGGAGAGAAAATATAAACAAAAAGCTTCTGGGTTGAGATAAGGACAGGGAGAGATCACTCACGTGTTACCGTTACAGGCAAAACAGACTCAGCTTGGGGAAATTAATTTAGTTTATTACCAATCAAATCAGAGTAGGGTAATGAGAAATAAATGCTAGATCTTAAAACACCTTTCCCTCAAGCCTCCCTTCTTCCTGGGCTCAATTTCACTCGTGATTTCTCTGTCTCCTCCCTGCCAGTGGCACAGAGGAATGGGGGTTGCAGTTAGTTATCCCAGAGGTGTGGGAAACCTCGGCTGGTTTCTTCTTAAATCACAAACTGTCAATTTCAATAAGAAATTGTGTGCTGCCCGTGGGGCCCCACGTTGGGCGCCATTTGCGGTGGGATTCAGACGCAGACCAATATGATCGTGCTGAAGCTCAACTTTATTGTTTTAACAGACTCTTTTATATCTTTCTTACAAACATGTGTCCATGTATAATTGGCTCCCTCAAAGTCCACCAGTTCATGATTGGATGACTTCCTCCTTCTTTGTTCTCTACTGTAACTTCAGTAACTTTCCTCTGCTGGTAGTCTGACAGGTCCTTAATCTTATTCACGCCCTTCTTCTCAGGACTCTCAGGCCTCTTCAAGGATACACAGGTGTCTCCTCAAGGCCGATGTTAAGCTCACATTCCGATCCCTCGGACCAGCCGAGGTTTCCCACACCAGAGGCACTACCACCATTGCTGATGGGCTTGGCTTTGGCCAGCAGCAGGTCCATCTTGGAGCCAGCTGGCATTGGTTCTGTCAAACATGGGGGAATCTTCTGGCAGCTTCTCACAGAAACCACCCCTTGCTAGATCTTAAAACACCTTTCCCTCAAGCCTCCCTTCTTCCTGGGCTCAATTTCACTCGTGATTTCTCTGTCTCCTCCCTGCCAGTGGCACAGAGGAATGGGGGTTGCAGTTAGTTATCCCAGAGGTGTGGGAAACCTCGGCTGGTTTCTTCTTAAATCACAAACTGTCAATTTCAATAAGAAATTGTGTGCTGCCCGTGGGGCCCCACGTTGGGCGCCATTTGCGGTGGGATTCAGACGCAGACCAATATGATCGTGCTGAAGCTCAACTTTATTGTTTTAACAGACTCTTTTATATCTTTCTTACAAACATGTGTCCATGTATAATTGGCTCCCTCAAAGTCCACCAGTTCATGATTGGATGACTTCCTCCTTCTTTGTTCTCTACTGTAACTTCAGTAACTTTCCTCTGCTGGTAGTCTGACAGGTCCTTAATCTTATTCACGCCCTTCTTCTCAGGACTCTCAGGCCTCTTCAAGGATACACAGGTGTCTCCTCAAGGCCGATGTTAAGCTCACATTCCGATCCCTCGGACCAGCCGAGGTTTCCCACACCAGAGGCACTACCACCATTGCTGATGGGCTTGGCTTTGGCCAGCAGCAGGTCCATCTTGGAGCCAGCTGGCATTGGTTCTGTCAAACATGGGGGAATCTTCTGGCAGCTTCTCACAGAAACCACCCCTGTAGCCCCCCAGCTACAAAAACCTTGCGTTGCAAACCAAGTACAATGTGTTTTCAGATTATGCCTTCCCAGAGATGACTTTCTGTTTTCCCCAACTTGTCTTGTAAAGACTTTAAGACTATGTTTAGGAATTTATTTCTTGTTGCTATTTACAATACTTTTCAATTAATGTAATCAGCAAAAATAACTGATATGCCGTTTCCGGATTTCTTGTTTTTTTAATGAAGATATTAAACATTTTCAGAATAAGCTATTGACTGTGAAATTAGAAAAGATGTGGTTTGCATTGTAAGGATGCAATTAATCACTTATTGTCATAGTGAAAAAACAAACCGTCCTAAATTATCCCAATTTCAGTTGGGCTCCTCTACAGAAAATACGGATTTTTGAGGTATGGTTTTATTTTGGCATATAGTATAATATCATAGCATAATAACTGCTGGTTGTTTCAGTACATTTCATACTTTGTACACAATAACTTTTAATCAGTTCACTGAAAGACATAGCTTGTTGTCTTAGTGAGAAATACCATAAATTAAAATCAGTAAAATATAAAAAGACACTTACTTGTGGTCTTAACTCTCAGAATTGCTTATAGCTCTTTTGCTCTCTGGGGTAGCAGATACTGGCCTACAAAGCTCCTCACAGGTCTCTTGTATTCCCTTGGTTGTCTGTTTCTTACCTGTAGAATTTTTCTCTTGGTGACATCTTGACCAGAGTCTTCAAAGAACATGATAACATGTTCTTTGAAGGCAGACATAACAACATTCTTGATCAAATTCCATCTTTTATCATGCTTCTAGCTACTACAGATATGTAGGAAATTAAAAAGTGCAATTTCAGATTCATTGAATATTTGCATTTCTTTTTAGATTATCGACATAATGGGAGAGATCTTCAAAGTTCAACGCTATCGGTGCCAGAACAAGTTATGTCATCTAATCATTGCTCTCGATCAGGGTCCCCTCACCGTGGAGATAGTATAGGACGGACTAGATCGTGGTCTCCCAGTGTCCCTCCCCCACAAAGGTAAACTGTTATTTAACTGTGCAGATATGTAAATTTAAGTGGTGTTGATCCTGTAGCAATACTGGAAAGAATCTCCAGAATTTCAAAATGGCAATGAATTAGTTAGATCTCATTAAATTATGTATAGGCAATTATGTTTTTTCTTACATTATACTTATCTGCAAAAATTCACCTAATTTTGCCTTATTTTTCCAATCTAAGGAAAGAAAAATAGTTCTCCAGATTTTCATTTTCAGGAGCTATTTAGAGGGTGCCATGTTTTATAGCATGCAATGATTTGACATTTTCTTAGTGTTCATTTATCAGTGGCTGTTTTCAAGCCTTTTGTGTGCATAGAATCAAGGTTCTGGGAGAGACATGCTTCTTGCCTGTAGTTGCTTTCTTTCTAAGATTTTTTTTTTTTTCAAACTTTTAAAGCATCAAGAATAAATTGACACACGTACAACTTTATACTGAATGTCAAGTCTTGATCATAGGAAGCCTCTGCTAACAATTTATCTTGTGAAACAAAGCTGTCCAAAAGGTAGAAGTTTGATTACTGCTTGACTGAATACACTGTTTAAGCCAGAATTAAGAATTTTCCTGCATGGATGAAGGAAGCAGAAGGACAGGGGCATGGAAAGGGGCATGAGGCCTGTTTTCCAGCATTTTTGTCACTATGTGTAGGTAGGTTTCTAGCTGGTGTAATTCAGCTGGAATAAAAGAGAAAGTTGCTTTCGTTGCCCATAACACTCACAATTCCCATTTAATACTGAAGATCTGGTATCCAGTATTTCCTGACAGTACGTGTGTGTATCCCTTTCTTCTAAAGCCATTCCTGTTCTCTTGTGTTCTGCTTTCCTTTCTTTTATCCTTGTTCTGTTAGCCTAAAATTCTCTTGACTTCATATTCTCTTACTTATGTGTTTACTTACTCTTTCCTCTAACAGATACAAACTAAATTATATCCTTTTGCGTTAATGAGGTATTAGCATTCCAAATTACCCAATATCATCACAGGCAGAAACTATAAGTTTCTACTTGAAATCTCAAACCGTATCTAAATACAGCCTGACTTTAAATGAGACATAAACAGTAGACACAGAGGGGCCTACTCCAATTTCTACTGTACTGATTTGAGTCAAAGTAATGGCCTGTGCTAAATCTCCTGGGGTTATTTGTCTTGGATATAGACACAAATGTGAGCAAAATCTCTTTGTGTGTGTGTGCATTCACGCTGTGTGCATTTTGGGCAGAACTTTTACCCAAGCTAGTAATTAACACTTGTCTAACACCATTGAAAAACCTTCTTTTCATTTCCTTGTAGTTTTGCATTTCTTTACATATATGGAATTGCTTCCTGACTTTCCTAAAGCTAAATTTTTTAATATAATTTTGAACTTACTGAGAAAAATGTTTCATCCGTTTCCTACAATCTTACAATCAAATGCATTATTTATGTAATATTTCCCTGCCCGAACACTAAATAATTTCTTTGAGGTCTGGTCGAGCCCAGAGAATTGGGTTGCCAGACCTGGAGAGTGTGTAGAAAAGCAGCATAATTCTTGGGTTACTGAAATACCTTTTATTGGTTCTAATGAGAAACCAGGTGTATTTGGCGAAACTATGAGTGTTGTTATGGCGTTTGCATCATGTTTAGTTGAGTTTGTTATACATGTGCTGCTATAGACATGTTGTAACTGCAGTAAGTGTGTGGAACACCCAGAGATCTCCCAGGAGCTCTTGGGCCATAGAAGTTCAAGTTGCTGTTACAGAAGCCATTTTGCAGTCCTCATTCCTTCTACTGGACTTCTACTGGACCAAAGCCACATTGCATAGTAGCTGACATTACATTACTCCTCTTGTAATGTTTTCAGCTAATATATTTAATGGACTGCTATCCTCTCTGTAGATTAGAATTAGCTTTTTCTAAGAGTGCATTTGAAAACGAAAGATGAGGGTGACTACAGAAAGTGAAATAGGCTGAAAGTGACTGGGCTGAAACGGTAATCTAGTAGGTAAATCTAGTAGGACGACTCATTATTCTCTACCATCACCAGCTGCAATTAGACCTTTTCACCTGCTTACCTGTTATCTGGTTGCACGGTACGTGCCCTGTCAACTACAAGCAAGTTCCAAAGAAGTGAAGGTGTACGTTGTGTAACAAACTTTGCTTCTCAAACAATTTTCACTGGAGAAAGTATGCAATTTTCTGTTAAATTGTAAATCTGTCTGACAGGCATGCTTAGCAGAGTGAAACAGAACGGGAATAGTAGTAAGTAACACTTTGAAGTACAAGAAATACAGTTGCGTGGGGTGTTAAAAAGAAGCATGAAGTCAGAACCTGATATAATATAGAAATTGAAAGAAGAAATTATTTATTTAGAGCTTTAAGCCAATAACACAATCTTATTGGAAGTGATTTGAACAGACAGGATGGTACTGAGTTTTCAGGACTAAGGCTTGTAATCAGAGTTTCGGCAGGAGTTTTGATTGTGTGGGCAGACAGCAAAGGTAAAATCTTTGGGAAGTTTTTCAAAAAATGACAGCTTGAGAAAGCTTAAATATTTAATTCAAAAGCATTAAAATATGATGATAATACTATAGGCAGAAAAAAAAAAACAAAAAAAAAGTTTGGATTTTATTTGAAACCTGAATGAAAAGAGAGACCCTGAGGAAAAGGGTCAGACAGAAACTAGAATTCAGAAAGGAGGAATGAGAATCGGTTGTTGGGAAAAGTAAAAAAGTTAACAAGCCCAGCAGAGGAGCCCTGTCAATGGCCATTTTAGAGTACAGCTATGCATGAGAGATCCCAATGGCAGGGTAAAACCCATACTGGATTTTCTGTCATTTTGGTATAAATAAGGTGCTAGAGACACATACAGAGAAGTTTCAGGAAAGAGTTGTATAGTGGGAGGTAGAAGAATTATCTCACTTTTAATATGGCAAATATAAATTTTACTAGCCAGAGTAAACTTTGTATTTGGCTTCGTGAAAACTGGAGTGGAGAAATGCTTTATGAGAAATGAAGCAGAGCTGGAGGCAAAAGTTTGTGTAGTGCAACATCTTCATATCATTTACATGCAGTAATAATCAACAGCGTGGAAGCAGCAGTGGAGGATACACGTACAGGTTAACACTAACCAGGGACTGGCAAATGGCAAAAGATAAGGATGACAGGTACCTAAAGGGCAGAAAAAGCGACAAGGAAGGACACAGGAACTGAATGGTATAAAAGTGAAAAAAAATGAGGGCCGCATTAGGGAAGGCTAAAGGGAAGGACAGGAGGAAAAAGAATTTATTGGTGTAAAATATGAATTTGTGTGGAGGGAAGCAAGCAAACTGTTATTTCCAAATCTATACAGAACAATTATGTTTTAATTACCAATAATTTTTACAGTTAACTGTAGTCTTTCTATCTTCCTATTCCTGTGAATATTTCTGCTTTACAGAGCAGAAAAATTGAAGTTAGTGTGTATCAGCAGGTCTTAATGGTTAAACTGAGTAAGCCATCAATGGGCAAAGCTTTTGTTTCAAACACTACAAAACTCTAAAGGTGATTGGTGCTCTTTAACGAAGTCTGCACTATGTGTACCACTTACACCTAGTTAAACAGCCTGTCTTTTTCAGATTCTATGCTAGTGAGATTACAGAATAAACTTTCCAGTGCACAACAAGCATTCGTTGTTTAACTCAGATGACAATGTTTTTGGCAGGCTGCACTCTACTGTAACAGCCAGAAGTCTGTTTCTGTCTTGGGACTAGCTATAGCCAAACTTTGAAGTATAGTCAAACTCAAAAATTCATGGAAAATTCTTTACAGTGTATGTTTCAGCTAGAAATGAATTTTTCCTTGAAGGTACTAGTCTGGAAAGACTGATGAAATTTTGTCTGAAACTAACCTTTCTAATTTAAAAAAAAAAGTTATCCTCTCATTTCCAGAACAAATAACCATTGAAACAAATTTAAAAAGCCCTGTCCCTAGCATTGATTTAGCATCTTATTCTGTAGGAGAATTTTTTTTTACCATGCAATTTAAAATTATATGAGATTAAAAGTATGCAAAAGATAGGTCAGCTTACACATGTCATTACCATCATGTTTACTAATAATTGTCTGTACAAACTAGTGAGGGGCTGTAGTCCAGGCGCACCCAGCACTCAGAATCTGATGTCTTTTATCCTTAGTCGGAATGTGGATCAGGGACCACGAGGGACTCGATCTACTCCTGCTCATTACAATACCCTGAACCGAATGGATAGACACCGTGTCATAGATGACCACTACTCCCCGGACAGAGAGAGGTAAATATCTGACTGGAATTAGAAACAGCTGTAGCCTGTACTCATCAATGAGAACTACTTCAGCATCATAGCTCACTAAATTAAATAGGAAAAATTACTTACCTAGTCCCACAGATGAGCATTTCCCTACTCATTTATCCACTGGTTACGTGATATACATTGAAAAAAATATTGTGCACACAAGGCTGACAAAGCTGTCAAGTTAGTGTATTTTTGCCAAGAGGAAAACTGAAAAATCTATGAGAAATTGCACAGTATAAAAGACAGATAGCTTAGTTTTTCTTTTTTTTTTTTTGGTAAAAATATTTTTATGTACTATATTAAGAAATTCTTTAAGTGCTGAATTTATTTAAAAAAATTAACAGTAGATTTAGTGATTTTTTGCTGCTGAATGAAGAATCATAAAAAAGCATAATTTCAGTTAAGTATTAATGTAATGCTCCCATTGGATACAATGCAATTCACAGACAAAAAAAATATATTTTCTGGCACTGTGTTTGTTTTTTCTCAACTTTATGAGCCATTTGGAGGGGGGGGGGGTAGTTACGGAAATGTGTGTGAGAATGAAATCAGGGTCTTTCTGTTTAGAGGCACATTTTACCATGACTAATGTTTCGCTTAATATAACTTCCCAAAGAGTAATTAGAGCAACCTCTATGAATTTTAATGATGTAAAAAAGAATTGCACGCAATAGTTGGCTAATGTAGTTAAAATTGCTGAATTAATTGTGGTAGTGCCTTTGTGACATTGAAAAAAATAATTTATAAGATCTTTCCCACTTCATTGTCTTCAGACCAGAAAATCAAAAGAAAAAGCATTTTTGCCTTTCATTTTTAAAATCTTCCAGCTTCTTATACACCAGGTTGAAAACCTGCACATTAGAATCAGAGGGCCATGATTGCTAGATGTTGTCCTATTTCATAATTGCATATAGCAAGGAGTAATATAGATATATTTTGTAATCTTATTGAGTGCTGTGTGACTAGTATTTGAAGTTAATAATTTTACAGATGGTTATTACAGGTTATTCCTCAAGTGACATCAAAGAACATAATGGGTGTTGCTAATTGTAATACAAAGAATTTAAAAAATCAATGCCTTTTGGTAGCAATATTGAACAGAAAACGTGAATATGCCAACATTAATGTGATGGTCAATGATTATAAGGAGCGTAAGACAAAATTATCCAGAAAAAACATGCATAATTAATTGTTCCTAATTTGGTAAGTTAGAAAAAAGAGTACCAAAAAACCCTCAACCTTATCTATTCAAGTGATTTGTAATTTAATTTGGCCAAAAAAAGTCAAATGGGCAAAAAGATTAAGATATTGAAAAGCAATCAAGTATTCATCATTCAGAATGTTAACTGTATTCATTACAAGTATAATAGACTGTAGGTGAACCTCTTTTTGCATTAAACTTTTTAATATTTCTATTTAAGTTATAAAAAAGAAGAATGCTATTTAGCTCATGAGGCTATCTGATTTTCATACAGAAGCCAATAATTTAAGGATTCTGAGCTGTTTCCTTAGAAGAAAAGAACAGAATGCTTTTGGGATAACATTATGTTGATTTTTAGACCAGTCATCCTTGAAATAGGATTTGAACTTGTCCTTAGAGCCTGTATATGCCTTACGGAATGCTTCTGGGTTTTTTCACTGTGCGAGTTTGCTTGCTGCCTCCCAGATAAATGGATAGGTGGTTGGATGTACAGCACTGCAGTCTTTCCCCATAATTTCAATCAAATAACCCCTACTGGACTGGCTTGGCTTAGAGAAAGAATTGTTTTTTCAGAATATGTCAGGAAAACAATGTCAGAAAGTTGTTGGTGGTAAGATTATTGAACTTTCATGTGACTATTGCAGATTAATAGATACTTGCTTGTTAGGTGTGCTCTGAATCTCTGAATATATTTATGTCATCTGTATTTTGCAAAACACGAAGAGAAGTTCTCTTGTTTGTACATGGTGAGTGGTTGCCTGTGTAATCAGATTGTTAACTAGTTATGCCTCTATTGCAACATACGTTCTCTGAAGCATAGTGGTTTTAGGCAACACTCAGAAGAATAGAGAAAGACTATTCCCAAACATTTATTACACTTTATATTCATTGTTATTTTGACAGTGGTGTTATGAATGGAAAGATTACTAGACTTCAAGTTTTGCTAACGAATATTTGTGATACTGTCTGTGTTACATAATCTAAAGCAATGGTGAGTGCACCAGTCCCTAAAGTAACTCTTTAATGTTATTAATTCTGAAACCTGGAGGAACTGCAGGCAGTTTGGAGAAGTGGAAAACCTGAACCTTTGTGTAGGTTAATAATCTCTCTGCTTGTCATCCTTGTTTTGTTCCACACTTACCTCTGAAAAAAAAAAAAAAAATCACACTTTGCTTTCCCACAGCTTTGATGGTTTATTTTTTCCATGGTCTATTTACTCCTTGGAGCTGTTTGCCAAAAAGAGACTTTGAAAAATACTTTCTTGTATATTTGCTCAGTTGCTAAGTTAAAATATGACTGAGAATATGAGTAAGAAAATTATTTAATTTCTTTTCCACATAATTCAACATAAAGTTCTCTAAAGTATATGACACTATGGAGTTAGTTGGAACCATATACGAAAATGTTTAATGACCTCAGATCTAATGGCAATATTTCTTCACATTTGAATGGCAAATTCATCTAATGATCTAATTTGCCATCTAATGGCAAATATTTCTTCACACTTGAATGCATGCTTAGAAGTGAAAATCAAATTATTTAAAAAAAGTTTGAAGACACAAATTGTTTAATTTAATTTGAGAAAATTTTAATTTCAAACACCAGGCCTCTAAATATGTCAAATGTTGCTGTCAAATCAAATACAGATTTTTGTTGGTAGGGTAAAATTACAGTTAAAGTTTGTATCTGTTGCTATATTAGCAAAAATATCAGAATTGCAGTGTGTGTACTGGTAGCTCAAAGTGGGAAATCAAGTTAATTTGTTACTGATATATTTAATATAGGTGTACTAGTTCATTTTATCAAAATGTGTGGAGCTTTGTTGCCTACCTGAAATAGTCTTGCAGTGAAAATGTGAGAAATCTCCTAAAGTACAGGTGTTTTCCTACTAGGCATGTATAAGAAAACGAGAGAAAAAACAAGTCAAATTTTTGGTCCGGTATCCCTTCATCAGGACTATTGCAGAGTTTCCATTTTAAGGAACAAAAGTTGGTATTTACTATATTAAAGTAATGAGGTACTCATAGCCATGATTATTTAAAGAAATTGTCTCCATTTTATTTGAATTACTTCAGGGATGATATCTTGTTATGCTGGGACTAGCATGACTATCACAATTCTATTACTGAGAGGTGATTTCATTAGCACATTTAAATACAGACTTTCTGCTGAACAATTTGTTCGTTTCATGCTGTTGAAAGAGGTGTTTTTTTAAAACACATCTTAAAGTAAATGCCAAAATACATGTCAAAAATTTGGCTTACTATAATAAAACCCAGAAAGACCAAAATCATTCACTACCATGAAAAGCTTGAGAGTGTTTGGTTAAAGGAAAATTCATACCAGTAAAAAAAAATCATATTTATTTTAGCAATGTGAATAATTTCATACTTGCCATACTTTTGATTTGCTATTTCAACTGTAAAAGTATGTAAGAGTGTTACTAAAAATGGAGGATAGTAGTGTTGCCAATGATACAATGTATCACTTAAATTACAGTCAGATAATACACTGGAAAAAGCTATCAGAATGGATAAATAGTAATAGTATGATAGAAGTTTCTTGTGTCAGCTGGGTTTGATTCATGCAAGTTCTATCAGTGGAACAGAAAGTCTTGTTTTGTATTCAGAATTATTATGGATGTTCCAATAAGCACAAGATTGTCAGGACCTCAGTACTTCATCCTTTCCACAGAAATAATTGAGAGTCAACTTCCCACTCTAACCGGGGAGCTGGAATGTTAATCAAATTGTGAGATCTCATCATAGAGAATGAAACTTGAAAAGAATAGGTTGTCTTCTAATGCCTCACCTTTACTGTTGAGTATAATACCCCAAGCAGTAAAGACCAGGTTAAACTGCCCTTGCACAGTGGTTCAGAGAGACACTCTGCGTGTGTGTTCAAGTGTGCTTCTGAGACTGTTCTACATGTCAAACCTGCTCCTGGAAACTAAGTACTTCCAGTTAGGCAATCTAATTGCTCACTGAATCTTTTTTTTTTTTACTCTCATGGTCCACTGGATTTCTATAAAGTTGTAAAGAAATGGGCAAATAGGTGGGAACTAGCAGAAAATTTTAAGTCATCATTTTCTGTTCACTTTAAAAAGGGAAGTTGCTGTGTTTGCCTACATGTCTGGAATCTTCTTGTCAGAACAGTGGAAGTCTGTTTTTTGTGTGTGTGTGTGCGTGTAGGATGTGTGTATATTAATGGTCATATGGCAAAACCTATAATACTGCCTTATCAGACTACTTTCATTATTTTGACAGGTGACATGAGTTGCTGCTGCAAATTTTGCCTGTGCTATCTGTAACGAAATATATAATGTTTCAGAAATCTGTGAGGATGCAGACTAATATTTTCATTTTGCCATAGAATCATTTTATATACTTCTGCCATTACCTACTATAAATGTAGCAAATAAGGAATGTGTGGTAAAAGGCAGTAAGTCTAAATGAAGGTTGCCAAAAAAGGGTATCTTGTGTCTTTTTAAAAATCTGCTGTACCTAAATCTTGTCCATGTCTCTAGGGTCTTCCGTGTATTCCTACTTATATATGTGTATGAGATCATGATTTTCATGAATGGCTCAAAAGACATATGTATTTTGGATGCAGATCTAGAACATTTCTGGAGTTCTTTTTCTGTTAAGCAATGCAAAGCTTAGTGATTTTACTAAATTATTATTTATTTATATTGTAATTTTAAGTGTTTTAGACTAGATATTAGCCAAATGAAAGTTGCACATGTTTTCAGTTTTGGACAGTGAGAATTAGGGATGTCACAGGCATTTTTGGTGTTATGTTATTAGCATATATAAAAACATAAAGAATTGATTTTAAGCTAAATACATAAAGTGTTAATAATAAACAAATAGTGAAGTATTGACTGGACGCTCAGAATATAGATGGCATTTAAGCCTTTTGCTCTACATTGTTTTGAATGTTTTGAAATACAAAAAGCACAGAAAAATATGCTGCCTTCTAATGTCCATACTGTCGTATTTTGACCTATGTGATGTCAATCATTCTCTCTTCAATACAGATATGGCATGCATCTTCCCTTTCTTTTCCACTAACCATGCATATTTTATTGAAAACATTACTTCAACAGAAACCATTTCCAGGCAGGCACACATGCTTACATGAATAGTATCTCTATAATTATTATTATTGTAGCTAGAGATATGAAAATGCTCAAACTTCATTAGGCTATATATTCTTGATTTATGATGAATGCCCTGTACTATATTACTAAAGTGGCCGTGTAAATTCCTGTATAAAACTGATTTATCTTCTTAATGAATTCAGACATAATCTCATTTTTTACGTTGCACTTGTAAGAATATTTTAGAGTGAGTTATTATCTATTATGAGTTAGCATGGATAATATGGGCTCTAAAGAGTAGGGAAAAGTATAAATAGCCAGTAATACTAGAGGATCAGGTCATGTCTAAGTTAAGCCTTAGGTCACTTCACAATATGGACAAGCAGAGTTCTGGGTGGTGAGGAAACATGTTTCAAACTTGTTAAAATTATTATATGTCAAACTGTATAAGTGGTTGTGTCTAAATGCCAACTTTCTCTGATTCTGAATTCCTGAATTTAAAAAAAAAAAAAAAAAAAAAAAAAGTTGGAACTGCTTTACATTCACAAGCAAAAGTCTCAGAACTTGCTAGTAACACTAGAGCTCTAAGTTTCTAGAAGTATTAATGCAAAACTTTGCAGAAGTTGGGCACTCTAAATAGTTTGGTAAGGATTTGAAAAGTGGTTAGGTCTCAAATCCTGAGCAGAGCATTAACTGAGGATGTTTCATTCACATACAAGTAAGAGAAGGGAGCGGTCTGGGCTGTGCGTTCTTGTGGACAATAAGCTAAGCTGCTCGCAAATAACAATTACATTCCCATGAATTTCATGTTCTGCAACACGTTATCTGCTTGAAGTCCCACTGTTGTTTAAAGCTTTGCTCTTAAAAAAGTAGATGAATATATTATATTTATTGTTGTCATATTTTTGCAAGACTATCAAGACAGTTCACTGGAGAGATAAAAGAGGAAGTAGAAGTGTATTATTAACACGAAAATGTCATCTACCAGCTGGAAACACTTAATTACTTATTAATACTCATGTAATATTTGCAGCACTTCTGTGGTGTTAATTTCAGGGTTGCATCTAAATCATTTAAGGGCAGATTAATGTGGATATAGCCTGGGAATGTCACCACATAGTGGTGAGAATAGGTTGGTATGCAGTTGTTTGCTATCATCACACATATAATAGCTGCTGTGGGGTAGACTCCTATGATTGTTCTATATGTGGGTGTTACACGATGGTATTACTTTTTAATGCTTCTTAGCACCATGCTGACTGCCAGGCTGTTATGGGTAGACTGCTTTTGGTACTTGTGTTGGTTTAGGAACCCTAATACTTTTTGCAGCCTGCAGTGTAGCTCTATGATTATTTTCTTGATTGTTAGGCCTTCTTAGGATCTCATCTTCAAATTTTCAGTGTACCATATCAAATTGTGCCCTGCTGAATTGTGCACAGCTCCTCATTCTTGTAACAAACTGCAAAGTTTAAACTGCATAATCAGGAACTTAAGTTAGAAGCTTTTTATAGTGGTGACTGTGCCTTTGATTTATTTGATAAAAAGCGAGCACAAGCATCTCCTCTACTAATTAAACTAATATGCTTATAAAGAATATTTAAATATGGCTGATGATACATTTTATCCACATGCAAAAGAGGCAAAGATATTAAATGTAGGTAATAGAGATACCTGTAACAATGTGTTTGATTACTACAAAGTCATCAATTATAAGCAAATTAAGATATAAGAAATAAAAGTGGAGAATAGACATATGTTTCTTGTGAAAGCAGTTTACAATTCCAATGTGGACTTCTGTGGTTAGACATTTACCCCAGCTTCAGAGGAGCTATAGTCTAGGAACTCCTTTGCATTCTAATAATTCCTTGTGTATTGGAAGAAAAAAACTATTTTCAAAACCATTGTTTCTGTACTGTGTGTATATATTTATACTGAAAGAGAAATAGTATTCTTCTACTTTTAATAACTGGAAAATATCTAGTGCTGTAACAATTATAAGTATATTTTGACATATTTTCAAAATACAAACAAGACAAATACTTTTTTTTATTATTTTGTAATGCATAAGTTAGGTTTTTTGTATATTCTGTTACAGATGTTATAGCTCTTCATTAATTATTTAAATAATTACAGAGCTTTCATCTAAATTCCTCTTTTATCACCGTAAGATAAATATTAGGAAGACTTACACTCAGAGGTGGGGACAGATTTTCTGATGGTGGTAGCCTTTTAGACAGACTAGGTAAACTACTGCAAAAGATATTATTCATCCTGAAGTTTTCACTGCCTTCAAGCAAAGAAACAGGCAATCTGACTTCTTGAGATTGCTTTCAGACAGATATTTATACATTTTTTTCTCCTAACTGAAATGATATAAAAAATCCCAAATTTTAGCTATCTGCTCAGTCCATTGTCTCCCACTGTCTTCTCAGAATAAATGCGTGAGTCATCTAGATAATTTTACCTTTAGAACTGTGTATCAGATTTCTGATTTTATTAATAATTTCGGTACCCTCTACAATGCTTTTGTAGCTCCTGTGTTCTCAGATTTTTGTGTTATCTGTTGTGTGATATGTATCATTCCTTCTCCACATTATTGTCTCATATTTGCATTTTTCTTTCTGCCATCTATTCAGTCATTATGTTACTTTGCCTCGTTCCCGATATACCCAGTCCACAGATCACCATTACAGAGATGCCAGGTATATGTTTTCCTCTGTGTGACTCTGTGTGGATAATGCATGTACTTCTATGTACCTACATGTCCACTTCTGTGTTCATTAGACTCTGTATAGTGGTAGAAAACTTAGAAGTGTTGAGTTATATCAGCATTAGCTTTCTTAATATAGTGTGTAGAGAAACACTGGGTAATCTTCATGTTTCACTTTTTAAACATATTTTCACTGCTAATGGTCTACAACTGGTGGTCCATGAAGGCAGTGCTATATTGACATCATTCTGATGTCTTTTAAAAACTCAATAAAATTATTTAAATCAACAAACATAAATATCTGCTAGTAGTATGATTTTCATATACAGAATGTCATACATGTACAGCTGTGTTACATGTTAAAGGTGATACTTTTCTTGTAGTCTTAGCTGAAGGCCAATATACCTTAATTTTTAAAAGTAGTTTTGCAAAATTCACCGAAGTTCCAGCTGAGTTTTGTTCCAGTGTTTTGTTCTGTTGCTGACATTGCTTGCTTTTCATGTTGGTTTGTCCTCATTTCATCTTTGTGTTGCTTTTCATTGTGTTCACCCTTTATGTTTTGGCAGCCAGGATCATGCAATGTATCCTCTATTTTGTGAAGATGCAATCAGATTACTTCGCTCCCGTAAGATGTGCCGTACCTATTCTGAGGGTGCTTACTATGATCTTGAGAGGTATAACTGATGTGGAGCGTATCGTTAGCTCTGCCGCTTATACTTTGACAGTACTGTGGCTGGTTTCCAAACTGAGAATGGGATGTATGTTTTAGGCGATGAGCACATACAGTGAAGATGTTTTTTAATACTCTCTGAGTCTGTATGTATCTAAAACTGACTACTCAGGACTATGAGTAAATCCCAAAGAAGCTGAATAGCTTTATAGAAGTCAGTTTCATAAATTAGGTTATATGGATATTAGTAGTATATGTGTAGATGTATAACCCTTATTTTTGCTGGAATTTTCCAAAGTCCTTACAGTACTTACTATTCTCTTTCAAATAATGAGGAAAATCCTATCTACTTCAAAGCACACAGAAATAGAGTCTTTCTGCAATCTCATACTTTGCTATACTGAAAAACAGAGAGAAAAGTAAAAGCTTACATTGTAGATATTTGTATAGTGTTTATTCTGTAATTTACGAGTACTTCTATACGTTCGTAATATCCATGTGTGATTACAGAACATCAGAGTTCCTATTTATATGTTAAATACATGGCAGAGAGAAGTTGAGCCCGTAATAAATTCTATGAAATAATTATACTTGAAATACAGTGGCTTTTAAGAGATACAGTAAGACATGCTGGTGTACTACCGTGATTACAATATTTTCAGAAAATACTGCAAAACAGGTAAAAGTCTACATGGCTGTGTGTGCCTAGAAATAAGGTTGTAAATCTGAGAAGCTGTGAGCCAATAAAAAGGAATTGGTGGCTTCAAATCTCAAATAGCAGATACAATGGTTGATATGGGGATTGCATTGCAAAAGGGGCCATGAAAAATTTCCATAGCAAGAACTAAAGAACTCTTGATATATTCACTTCATGGCTTCACTCTGGCTATGAGTTCCTCTGAGAAGTTCATTATAGTTTGCTTTGAATTCAGATCATATATAACCATGTATTTAGTAAGTGTAAAACTACTTTTGGTTGCAGAAACAAAATAGAATCTGAAACTTTTATAGTATCATAGAAATACCCCCTCCAAGGAAATACTGCTTTTTAAAAATTGTCCAAAGCTATAGTATAATTGGCAGTATAAACTTCGGAATTCAGTTAAAGATTTGTTTTGAAATTATGATATTTTACATTAAACCTAATCTAAAGAAAGTGTGTAAATAGCTCAGTCTGCCTGTAGAAACTTTAATAAGGAGAGGGAGGGATTTTTCATGTGTTTTCTGAAAATATGCAACGAAGTGTGCTCATTCTCATGCTATTTCAGTAGTTAATTTTTATATACTATTATTGTCCTTAGTTATATACTTACATTTGCATTAGTTTATCTGAACCTGCTTAAGATTGCTGGCTGTGTCTGTGACTGTGCTGGAAGTTGGAGCTATTATCAAATTGTCTTAGTTCGAGGATCTTGACTTGCAAATCTCTATCTTTGTTCCTATAGAAATTCATTTCTTGAAAATAAAGTAAAATCGATTAAAACAAAGGGCAAAAGTGATAGTACTGCAGAAAGATTAAAAAGCTGGGGTTTATGCAGTGAGATGGAGTAAATCTTTTCCAAGGCTTTATGGAAGAGAAGGCTATTAAAGCCAATTCCTCATGGAGTCAGAAAGGAAAATCCAACATGAAGTGAAAATCTCTAGCTCAGTGTTAGAGCAGACTGCCTGTGGGTAACATTAGTGTTCAAGTTACCTGAGTCATCTTACCAGATATAAACTGCTCTGAGTACCTTATAGCAACTATCATTTTTCCTAGTTTTTCATACTTTTTGCCTTTCCATGTTCTCACAAGCAGCTCTCTAGTGTTTTAGGACCAATAAGAATAATCTGTATCCAGTTCCTCCTTATCCTTTGAAAAAGTGAAGTTATTTCCTCTTCCTTATTTTATTTGTTGGAAATATATGAAAAATTACTTTCCAAATTGTATTTCCTCATTTATCTTTACACTTTTTCCCAGTTAAATGTTTACCTTAAATTACATTATTTTTGTAGGTCAAGGTATTAGTCTTGTCTTCTTAGTTCCATCTGCCTAATCAATGTCATGTTGATATCAAGCAACCACTTCGCTTCCTGTTTTTTCCTTTCACTTCATTAAGCATGTGAAATAACTCCAGTTTCCACTATTCATCAAAATAGCAATCAATGTTCTGCACATATATATGTTCTGACATATATATGAAAATACATGTTCAGAAGATACTACTGTAGATAAATATGCTCTATATTCATCACTATCTTGGTAATACAGTGAAGGAAAACATGTAAGAAGCACCCTGTAAAATTTCTGAAATATCTGTGCTGTTTATTCCATATTCAGGAGGACTAGGCAGGAGAGAAGAGTGCCTAATTCATATTATGACGACACAACCTATGCTCCTGAAAGGTATTTTAATGTATATAGTAAAAGTAGATAAAGTTGAATAATACATTTTTTCTGAAGTGTAGTCTAAAATTTTTAATTGACCTAGAATAATAATATTTAAATTTACAGAGCACTTTATGTAGTATTTCTCTAAATACAGAACAACTAATCTCCACAGTTTTAAGCCCCTCATTTTCTTTTAGCTCTCCATTGACTTGTCTTTTGATTTTTTTTTTAAGCATAATCCTTAACTTGAAAATTTTTTTCTTCAAGGTACAGCAGACAATTTTTCCCCCACTTAGCTGCAGTGTATTCCTAATGGCTAGCATTTTCAGTCATTAGGGGTGATTATAGGACAATTTAGAATCCCCAATTTCATTCTTTAATATCCTGAGTCATTTAAGAAGGTCCTCAGCTTTTGACATGTTGTGACCGATATTGACTTTAAAATGATTAAATGCCTTCAAATTGGTGTTGCATGCTTGCTGTGCTGGGAAGGAAAGTAGTATTGTTCTTTATAATTTTAGTATGCATATAGTGTATCACCGTGAACATAATATAACTATAATCTGACGCATCATCTGGAAATTTTTAGAGTGTCTCTGGAAATAGTTATTTGATAACAGCATTTCATGTTTAAAGAGCTAGGCAAAGTCCAAAAAGAAGGAAATCTGAAGAAAGAAGCAAGCTGATGTTCCTCTCCCTTTGCACACATAGACTTTTTATATTTCTCTGTTTAGTTTTGAGTCAGTATATAATTTTTCTCTACAGCTCTGGAGCAGGTAAAGCAGGGATAACTAATAGCGAGAAATTTTGTTTTTTATTTCATTGCTATGAGTAAATACAGTCATATTTAACAAAAAAATGCACTGCAGTTTTAAAGCCATGCTTATATATTTATGATGTCTATAATACAGTACTTTTATAGAAGAATCTTGCCTAAAATACTGGATAACTGAAGAGACTGGCTTCAGATTTAAAGATACACACCGTCACGGAGAGTGTAAATACATACCTGTCATTCTCCATCTGTATTCTAATTTAGATTGAACTAAATCCAATTTAAAATTAAATTAGATTAAATAACTTTCATCCAGTCATTGATCTGGCTACACACCATGCAAAAAAATGCCATTCCCCATATTATCCAATTTGATATAAAAGACACAAGAGCTGCTGAGTGACATCAGCGTATACTGCACTCCATACTGTCTTTCCTCAACACAGTGACCAGAAGGTATGGGGTCATTCAGTTTGTAAAGATATTGTAGAACACCAGATTCTGAAATCTGAGAAGTTGGGGAAAAAATGGAGTCATGCAAAAAATATTTCATGTATCCTGCTGTGGTTGATGGGAACAGATTCATGAAAACCCTTGGATAAGTGTATTCAAGCCATTAAAAAGTTCATCCTGTAGAATTTTGGCTAGGATTTTCAGTACAGACAAAGGAAGATTTATACCCAGGTTGATAATATTGTGGTCCCTTGATCTTTTCTGAAAATCCCAGTCTTGCTTCTCACTCACTGTCTTGTGGAAATCATTGAGTAGTGGGATTATTGCAGTTCAAAGGCTTTACTCAGGCAGGGTCCTGAAAATCTGTAACTCCAAACATCCGGTTGAAACACATTAACCAAATGTTGCATGATTTGCCTGTACTCTTAATATACTGAAGTAATGGCACATAAGCAGTTTATCCCCTGGTTTCTGAAATGAAGGCAGCTTTTTTTATCCCATTACTTATTTTCTCTATGGTTCTACTTAAAATATTTCTACATGTAGTCTTCAACTGATTTGCTGAAATGATGCTGCAGATTTTTATGTAGCCCATGTTCAGTATCTGACATGGTGTAAACATAGGTGTAAAATTTAATGAGTTTTCATTGTTTAATCTGAGTGAAGTGAGTTATCTTCTGCTTCTTAACTAATAACTAAGCACCCTATCAAACAGTAAAATGAATTTTTAAAAGTTAGATATTTGAAGTTAAAAGTAGTATTTTAAACTATTGCTATATAGAATGTTATTTTTGTTCACGTTATATCGCTGTAATAATTTTTCAGTTATTCCACAAACTCAGTAACCATTGAAAGTGTGAAAACTTGTGTAAGAAAAGATATGGGATCAATTAGTCTTTATGAAACATGGCTAAACTGCTGAAAAGAGTAAAGGTGAAATGTATTAAGAATTATATATGGAAAAAATAAGCATAATTTGTTTGGGTTTTAGTTAAAAAAAGATTGAGTTTTATTCATACTTAAGAGAAAGTAGGTGATGTACAAAATTATTTGGAACATTTGAAGAGCTTCCCGTTTTATTGAGAAGTAGTCATGTCATATGAATTAGAGTGTTATTAATAAAACATGTTTCTTTGTAACACTTTTTTATTTTAACTGCGTTGTAAAGGTGGTACAATGGTGCAAGTTCATGGGCAGATCATGTAGTCAATGGTTCAGCTGAAAATTACGGGTAAGTAAAGAGTGTAGTGTAACAGATATAGCTAAAATATATTTCTAATCTTTATAATAAGAGGTCATTTATAAGTGTACCAAAAAATTGTACCTAATAAGAATATTTTTCTTGATGTCTTTCTTTCTTGACTCTGAACTAAGGCACATTTATGTGCTACTCTTTTTTTTCCAAGATCAAGCTGTTTTATTCAGTTATAAATAGAAAAAGAATATTAATTATGCTTGAACTATTTTTAAATCATGTTCTCACTGTTCAGGGGCGCTTTAATGAAAAAGGGCTTTTTGACTGATAATACCTGCCTATATTCACAGTGCTGGGGAACGTGTCTTTGAGACCTAATCTTTTTAGTTTTAGATATTATCTCAGTTCTAACTGTCTAACCTATATTCCTGTGTGATTGATGCATAACCCATGTGAAGCGCTGCGTACCTTACAATCTTCAGTTCTTCCCAACTGCAGCTGGCTCCTGATCAAGGGAGTGCACAGACTTTCCTTGCTATTAGTTCTTTGAATTTGCAGCTTCTCCCTCATTTTCTTCTTGGTCTTATAAGATTTTTCTTCTTTATTTTTACTTACTTTGTGAATGAATATTGAATTAGTTACTTATTAGTGAGTTAATTACTGGCCATATTTTAAATTTTATGTTTCCATTTATTCTTTTGTGGTGTTACAAGTCAATATATCTCTCTGGAGAAATAGTTATGTACCAAAAATGGATCACTGGAAGACTATTAGACTATATTCAGTTGAATATAAAAAACCATGCAAAGTGATACTCTATATTGAAAGGGATTTGTTATATGTGTGTATATATATGTACACACAGTATATATAAAAGGGTTTAGTCACAGTTCCCCTGCAGTCCTAAGGCTATTTAAATAAAATTGTGATTTGTATTTGTCCTGTATATGTTGATTAAAACAGGAATTCTGTATAAGGAATTCAGAGACTGAAGGAGAACATAAGTGACTTTGTCAACTTGAAACTAAAGAAAACTGCTAAAAAACAGAGTTAATCAGTTAATCCTTCAATATTTTGATGCTAATTTCTTCTCTAGAGAGGAGAAGTTTGTGATGGTCTTTTGGCTTAACATTAGTGCAGTTACAGAGTTACTTCAGACCATATTTCTTCCCTAGCTTTTTGAACCATAGTGCTGCTGTTTGCTGGTTCTTCATTGTTAAATGTTTGAAGTATACACTTAATTTGTGGTTACTGCAAGGGCCATGCTTATTAGTTATCCCAGGGAAAGTGCACAAGCGTACTGAAAATGGACAGCATTTGAAGTAGGCTGGGAAGTGCTTAGTGTAGACAAAGCTTTTGTATTTGCTCTTGATAGTCACATTAAATAATTCTGGTTTACTTCATTTGTCTTAGATTCAGTACTGCATAGATGCTACAGTAGGTAAATATTGGGGGAAAAAACCCCAGATTGTTAACTTGAAAAAGAAACTATTTGTTAGTACTTTCTGTCCCCATTTAAATTTAGCTCCTAAAAGCTGTGGAAAAAGAAATAAAAAATGAGAACATTTTTGAGAACTAATATGAGTTTTAGGTAGACCGTAAGGCATAGAACATACTTTAATAGGATGAAGACTACTGAAATGGATCTGATACTATTAAGATCAGTGGATTTACAGAATGCCTTTAACAGAAACAGTATGCTATTTTGCACGTTCTTAATTTAAGAGCTTAAAACATAATAAAGTCTTACATAACTGTTTGTCTTGCAATGATCTGATTGAAATCCGGGACTCGTCAAGTGACAGAACTCTTGTTGTCCTCAGTGAGGTCAGAATTACAGGTCTGTTACCAAAAGTTCAGAAGACAGATGAACACTTATTTGCAGTATTAAGCCCTGTTTATGATATTTTACTAATTAAATGTCTGTCATACAATTGGTCTTTTAAAATGTTACTGAAAAAAGAAGAGGCCCACTAAATACAGTGTGCCATGTGCAAATAAAATTGTATTTAAGATCTGGGGAAAAAAACCACAAAACCCACCAGAAACTAGTACTTTTCAGTGCATTCAGTGCATTTAGTCCTGCACTGTGCAAGGGCATACTTAGGTACATGCTTAATTTTAAGCCTAAAACTGATTCACTCGATTAATCTATAGTCTAAGTGCTCTGCTGAACTGCATTTGAACATTCAAGTTCTACTAGGAAACGCTGTTCTCTCATTGATTCTCTCTCAAGCTTCTCTATGCATTGTCATATGTACCACTTACTCTCCAGTCATGAAACACATGGTCATTAAAGCCCTTGAATATTCCTGTCATTGCTCATACATTATCACACAACATTACATTTGAGTGGGTGAAATATGGTATTCTGAAATAGGAAAAAATATATAATAAAGTTATAGTATAAAGCTGAAATACTTTGGAATATTTCTGATACTTTTATCAAAATTTAGATTATTATCAGAAGAGAATTGTAGCAATATATTCAGTTATAAAATTGACCTGAGGCGGAGGATTTCAGTTCTCTTCTTTGAGAATTTTAAGTTCCTGGTTTTTGAATGCTAATCAGTTTTATCATGATCTTCAGTGAGTCATCTCATGAAGACAGAGATATGTCTTCCTGCAGTGTGATTTTTTAATATGTGTCAGTTGAGGGTCTAGGTTAAAGATGCTGGAAGTTGGAAGTAGTTGGCAAAATACAAGGTACTATAAAAGGCAGCTGGCTATATAAATGAAAATGTATGTTACAAGTACCAGAAACAATAAAGTAAAAATAAACACTTAACATATTATAGCAGAAATAAGCCTCAGTCTCTCACACTCTTAAATTAGTAGTGAAAGAATACCTCCGAGCATTTCATATTGTAGGCAAAGAATAAAAATAGGAATAAATGTTAAGATGATAAAGTCAGTGCAAGCTAAATAAATTGTTAAGATAAAAGGTAACACATCTGTTACTTGCATTCGTTGGTTCATCTCTGTTTAAGGAAATGGTAGCAAGGTTCATTTTTTGAGAAATTGCCTTTGAGTAAAATACTGGAAACTGATTCTTAAACTAGTTGAAGTTAGCTAGTTAAGTGAAATTAGTGGTATTGTTATTTGCTCATTGGCTGTGTTGTGCTGTGCTTTCATTGAATTCAGTTACAAGTAGTGTTAACTAAAAGGCCTCTTTCTCAAAAGCATTCATCACTTCTTTTTAATTAATGTTGAGACTTCTATGAAGAAAACATTGATTAAAATTTTTTACTATATTCCCTTCAAATGTGTTACAGTTCTGTTCCTCTAAAATACACAAAATTAATTTGGTCTGATTTTACAGATAAAGAAGATATGAACTGTTTTGAGCACATCATTTCAGTCTTAATTGTTCCAGGATTGACACTATGTAGAAGTTTTATTGATATTTGATTGTAATAGCTAGCATAAACCTATGACTGCATCCATAGAATTGGAAACTAATTTGTGTTAGAAAGAACCTCGAAAAACTATCCGGTCTGACTCCATATGTAAAGCAGGGCTTTGCTATTCCTCAGTAATTTAACAAGCTTACAATCTATTGATGATGAAACACATTTTGAAGAGTAAATCTCTGTAGATATTGCTATGTGTGCTTTCTTTAAGCATTTTTATAATTGTACCATGCTGTCACGTGTTAGCATGATTAGACATGTCTAGAACAGAACCACCAAAGTGACTGCAATGCCACGTACAGATTCCTAAGCCAGCTGTAAGCAACTGAGTTTCTGTAGCTGTAGCGGTCTGCGTGTAGCAATGTGGAGCACAACCTGAGCTCTGCTTTGCTTAGTGGGGGTAGTGAGTGGAAAAGTAGTTTGGATACTGCCATGTTATGGTTTAGTCATGCCTGTGGCTGTCATGTAGATATACCTGTAGTTGTCACATACACCACAGTGTAATGTGCATGTCAGTAGGTCATGTGAGTGTGTGCATGTATGTGTATAGATATATATACTACATATATAAAAAGTGTGATAGAATATTACTGCAGCAAAAACATCTTGCTTTGCTTCCTTTTTTTCTTTATTTTGTAAGAGTACCTAAAAGCATTATGTTCCTGGCTTTTAAAAACTTATATTAAGTTTCTTTATAGGTATGAATTAGTGACTCAGTGAGATACCCAGTCACCAGTTTATGTAGCTTCTTGGCAGTATACTGCTCCTTCCCATTTTCTCATTTTCCATTACAGTACTTATGACTCAAATTGAAGTTTGCTTGGTATTAGAAATCTCAGTTGTTTGTAGCCATGCTTATCTGTGTTATGCTAACAGAGGATCTTGTGTCTGTGACTAAACAGCAAAGTTCCTATAGCTAGTAGAAGAGTAACATGTCCAAGGATTGAAATCCAGCAGCCATCCACAGACACTGACAGGTATTACCATTGTATATTAGCTGGAGTTTGAAATTATGATTGTTAGAAAATGTATCACTGTATTTTTCTTGTTCTGTGCTCAGTGTTTCTAGATGAAAAAGATGCACTAGGAGCTGAATTGTAGTGTACTGTAATCCTACAGCAATTCTATTTTTATTTCTTCAGTTTTTTGTTACAAGAACAACCTTGTACTAAAATTATGATTGGCCTGATGTCATAGCTTGTTTTTTCAGTCTTGCACGCAGTAAAAGAATTTAACATGGGCTTCCTAATAAACTGCTTTCAGTTATTTTTGGGAAAAAATAATTTTGATTTCTGTTGTAAGCTTTAATGATTGCTTACTGTTGAAAAATGTCCATCTTTTATAAAGATTTCTCTATACACCAGTTTAGATCAATGAATGTATTCATTTGTTGAAAATTCTCCTTCATATTTGTTAAGAAAAGTAACAAATCTGAAAAATTAAAAATGAGAAATGGTTATTTTCTGCATTGAGAAGAGTTAGCTTTTGAAATTTCCAGAATATGAATATAGAACAATGCAGATAAATCAGTAGTTAAAACAAAATGTCGTAGCACCTTTGGTTAGATATCGTAGTTACTAGAATTTACAGTGGCACCTAAATAGTACGGGATTTTAATTCTAATTTTTGATGGGTTGGGAATATAAAACTAGATTGTGAATACTCACAGAGCTTTCTGCCTGGTGGCTTACAGAGAGCTCAAACAGTGTCAGAGTGATAGGTGTGCTTCGTTAAGAAGCAGACACTACTGTACTCTTCCGTCAGTGTAGGGAAGAGTTACACTCACAGGTCTCGTAGACCTTGACAGGGAAACAGACCGCCCACTCTGCATGTTTTCCTTAGCAAAGGCAGAAGGATGCTATGGTGGGCAATACTAAATGGAGGAGGTGACTATTTGACATTTCATTAATTGCATTTTTCATAATGAAAAATCTGTTAGCAAAGATAAACAGCTCTAGCATACATTAAAATATAGGGATGTTGAATACTTTAATGTAGACTATTATATTTCCCTCTTAAAAAATTAGTAATTCATACGATATGAATTATGATGAGAAAAGAGGAAACTTTCATGTAGATAACTTGAGAGTATAAACCCTCACGTGGTGATCTCAGGGGTCCCTTCCAACCATGGTGACTCTGTGAAATGTTATCTGAAAAGTTAGGAATTTCTGTTTTTAATTCACTGAGGTGTTTGAAAAACTCCCCCTCTTCACTTATGGCTGGATTGTGATACTAAGGCATAGTTGTATACTGTGGTAGGTGCGGAGCTTCACTGTCCAAGCAGGTTACTGGAGTGATATTTTTCTATTAAAAAGACAGTTAATTCCTGAAGACCTGGACCATATAGCGCATGTGTTTACTGTTAAAAGGACAAAACATATATGAGGACAAAGAATATGCCTGCTTCACTCCAGACAGTAAAGTTGTCTTTTGAATTGTTCTTTATATGTGTATTATCTAAAACCACCCAGTGAAGCTTTCAAGTGGAAGACTGTCAGTATGCTTATATAGCCTTCCATTTGCTGCAGTGGATACTCAGAGGTTTGCAGCATGTAGCCTGTAACTTGAGCATAACAAATCAGTTTCATGTCAGAATTCACTTTAGTCTTTGAAACCTTTGGTCTACAAGGCAACAGCGGTGCCAAAGCTTCACCTAAAAAAGCAAAAGGTTCACTGCCAAAAATCCATGTTCTCCTTCAGTTCGGGGAACTCATGGTTGTTTTTCCGCCAGAAGTAAATACCAGTTGCAGATTGTGGCAAACTGAATATTTATATTAACTATTGAATATGAATTATCTGAGGCCTTTATTTGTTAGCATAGTGTGTAGCTATAGTGGCTCCGTGGTGCTGTGCATAATTCAAAACCCGCCCACTAAGCCATTTGTATTGTTCCTAACAGTAAAAATCCCTTTCTGCCTTCTAATACTAATGGGTCAGATCCCTAACATCCTAAAAAGTTCTTCTTATGCAGCAGCTAAAGAGAATGAGGCCTTAGGAGTAACAAGTGAAAGAGGCTTAACTTCTCATGAAGTGTTCATGAGAATCAGGTGGTTGCTACTCACCTGTTTCTCTGTGTGTCCTACTTGCTGTTGGAAGGAGAGAGAAATAGAAAACGGGACGATACCCCTCACCGTGCTGTCCAGCTGGTGCTGTGGTGTGCTCCAGCCCCCTCTCTCACTGGCAGGAGAAGGGTTGTTCTAGCTCTCTTTGTGTGACAGACCCAAAGAAGAAAGTCTGTGTGGGCTCACTAATGTTCTTAAACGTGTGGGTACACAAAGTAGGGGTCGGTTGTTTGGACTATGATTGTATTCTCTTTTGTAATTTTGATGAATTTAGGAATTTTTTCTTTTTTTAAATAATTTATTCCCATAGTTCCCATGGTCATATTTTTAACCACCATGTAGATGGCTGACACCTTTCTCACCTCCCATAGCACTGAAACCTCTCTTGAACAGTTACCTAAAGTAAGCAACATTCATATCAAAGCTAAGGTTGTGTTTCTTTGTCTATCCACGATGTTAAAGAAGCGAGACAGTGGATGTTTTTGCTGATGAAGCTTCCCATTCAGAAACAGAACTGATAGAAGAAGTGAGGTAATTTTATTGTGGTTTTGTTCCAGGCTCATTGTACTTTTCCTTCAGTCTTTAGTGCCTTAGCTTATAATTGCCATTATGTGTCTCACTGTGGTGTGTTTGCTTGTTAGGAGCTTATAGATGTAGGTTCATGGTGAATGGTATTATTCTGAACCTGTCTGTGGCAACTCCTTCCTATGCTCTTCCGTTACCTCATGGAAGTCTTGAAAAGACATTAATTTTAATGAACCTTTTATCAACCCATTCAGCAAAGTTGGCCACCCTGGAGAAAACTGTACTCTGTCTCAATATGGTCTTTTAGAAATAAAATGCTGTTAATAACATAAGACTCTTCATAATGAGGCTGTGGTATGTCTCTCTTTTTTGATACTAATTAAAATTCAGCTTCTTGTTACACTTAATCACCATCCAGTCACTCTTTGTAATAACTGACTTCATTCAAGGAATTCGCTCAAGGAAAAGTCCTGAAGGGTACATGTTCCCCATTTGTATTCTATAGCTGTTGAGTTACTCAAGGAGAGCTGAGAGGAGTGTGAATTAAGTAGCTCTGACAGGGTATGGGTTTTACTTTTAAAATTAACTTGATTTTATGTATTCTAGGATGTTACTAGCAAATATTACTCCTTGCAAACAGGCCAATTCCATTGTGAAAAAAAGTTGGGCTTGATTAATTTCTGGAAGTAATGGCATAATTAGTTGCATAAGATAGTAGAAGACCAGACTGCTTGGTCAAGAAATTGTCTTTTACTCAATCCTCTTTCTCCCTGTCACATCTCTAATGGTAACATTTTCCATTGCTGTTTTGGCACAGTTCTTGAGGCTGAGGGTTGGAAGATTATTTTTTTATTATTATTATGAATCAAACATTGTCTAGTTGGTGGAACCTCTGCAAGTACTAATGGTGTTATAGATTTTCATCTGACTGCAGTCCAAGCACCATGTATGAATCTGTCACTGTAGCCCTAGCCTATATTTTTGGACAGACATCCTGAATCTAATAATAGTTAACAGTGCTACATGGTAATTGAAGCAGCTGGAATGTGGCATTTCTGACCATCAAGAGTACTACCTTTAAAGACAAAGCAGTATGTAAAAAACTAGTCATGAGTAAAAATCGTCAATTAAACTGCATAATTGAGTCCTTAGTATTAGTGAGACAATATTTTGTCAGCTGTTCTTTTCCTCCAAGGTTGATATATAAATTAACACAATAGCAATATTTTTACTCATAAATTGTCAGGAAACAGACTATTGCATGGATAGTCATTATTGAGACATTGGAAACATTTCAGCCCATTTGTCAAGAGTATGGAGCAAGCCAAATCATACATGTATAAAAAACCCCTATGTTATCAAGAACCAAACTCAGAAAACTTACCCCCCCCAAAATGTATGTAACAAAATGCTTTGCTCCAAACCAGTATCATGAGCATATTTTATAATTAATAGAAAAGTCAAAGGTCAACTGAGCTGCTTTTTGACTAACATTACAGGAATTGTGAAGCAGCAGATAGACAGCCATATCAAAGATCCAGATCAACAGAGCAACGTCCTATGCTAGAGCGGACCAACTCCCGCTCCCGATCCACAGAGCGTCCTGACTCAAACATCATCAGGTCGATGCCTTCATTAATGACTGGAAGATCTGCCCCTCCTTCACCTGCCTTACCGAGGTGAAACAGACAAATCAATCAGACTAATCCCCTTCTGCCCCACCAGCTCACCATTTTATTTTCCCAGTAGCTAATTGGTATCGCCTCATCCTTAGCTGATCACTCGTAGCAATAGATACTAACCCTTTCAGTGCCAACACACTATTTATATTCTGCTCTGGATATAATGGTGTGGCTGCCATTGCAAATTGTTTGCTAACAGTATTTAACTACATTTGTTTGTGATTTCTCATTTATCAGGAATCCTGGATGGTTTCCCACATAAAGCACCTCATAATTATCATATTTTTCTCTTACAGAATGAGAAATTGTTTGTGTTCATCAGACATCGCTTATGGAACAACCATCATAACATCAAATGAAACTATTTTTTTAAAAAAAAAAAAGTTTCTTTTAATGGACTGTACTAACTTTGTCTATCAATTACCATTTAAACCACCATTTTCTCTGACTACATTTTACTGTGCCATAGTCTGTATTGTTCCTGTTTGAGTGCTATACTTTACTGATTGACATTTTAAAGATGTCTATACATTAGTTTTAGCTTAAATAAACAAAATACAATAAAAAGATGAGTACATTTTGGTCTAGTTTATGTTCAGTAAAGCCTCTCCTGATTTTAGAACTGCAGAATACATTTTTTTTGTTGTCATGAAAGTTAGTTATTAACATCAAATCACCAGTGAGAGAGTCAAATACCAGCATCTTTTCTCAGTTTATACTTTGTTCAGAGAAATCCCTGTAATTTCATTGCCACTCAATGGTAATTCAACCCAATACAAGCTGAGTAAAGATCGGTGAATTCAACCTGTGGATAAATTTATGTGTATGTGGGTATTATATCTATATGCACATGAATATACACACAATACATTTTCTGTCTTGACTGTGTAAACAAGCATCTTATGGATGTTCAGCCTTAGTTTGGCTTTCTTTTCTTCTTTTTCACAGAGAGATTTCTTTTTTTAATCAGGTCTTTTTCTGAAAAGAGATAATAGTTTCACCACAGGACTGCAAGGGTCCCAAGTGATCTAAAGCCTACTTAGTCATGTTATCAGTTCTTGATGGTATTTAGGATGAATTTGTCATTTAATGGCTATGGTTTGTTTTGATATGTGTCTCATAGGTCACATCCTCGAACTGGGTCTGTTCAGACAAGTCCATCAAGTACTCCAGTAGTAGGGCGACGGGGCAGGCAGTTGCCGCAGCTGCCACCAAAGGGGACATTGGAGAGAAGTAAGTGTATGGTTTTCTCCTTAATGATGTTACAAAATTGGTCGTGAAGGTCGATTTTATTTATTATTTTTCTTCTGGCACTACAGTTGAAATCTCTTGAGTTTTTGTGTACAGAATTGGGATCTGATAGTAGCATTGTATTTTGTATTGTATTTTCTTGTCTTATCTTTTAATATTTACAATGCTCTTGAATGAAATGGATCATCAGCAGTACAATAATCATCAACAGTGCAATACACACGAAACTATTAGCATGATCCTGTTCCTTTTGAACTCAATAGGGGCTTTGTCATTGACTTCAACAGGCACAGGAAATGATCTTTTGTATATTGTTTAGCGATAAAACTCTAGCTCTTTTGGGAGTTAGGAGAATAGCTGATCACTTGTGGGTTCACATGGAGTGTGTTACACATTGCTAATATAAAACCTCTGCATCTTGAAACAGGGAAGGGAAGAAGACAGGTAATAATGTTTAAAATAGGAAAGGTCAGCAAGATACTTCGTGATTCACGTTTGACTGGTACTGTAATTGTGCTTATCGTTAGTGTCTTATAAAAGCACTGGTCAATGGAGACATTTTCCAAAATGTTTAGAAACAGAGGTGTAAACACGTTTTTGATAGCAAATACATTTTCACCCTTCTATGTCTGATAACTAGATGTGCTGTGCAAAATCAGTCTAAATGGCCATATACACTCCTTTTTTAAATCCTTCTTGACATGTATATTGTATCTTTTATAAAACTTCTGTTGTTTTTAACCCCTGTCCTTTGGTTCCCTTTTTTTTTGTTTGTTTGTTTTGTGTTTGTTACTTTCCCTAGACAATGGAGACAAGGAGATAGAATCTTATGAAGGTCTGTACATAAAGGAGGGTTTGTTTTTCACCTGCAAGCCTTTTTGAGAGGCTATATAGGGAAAAATAAACCCAACTGCAATTGATGTTACTTGATTGCACAGACACAGTCAGAATTATTGTCATAATTATTTAGTCTTTTTTATATTTAGACCTGTGGCTCATAAATTAAACAGGGTTTACTTAAAAAAAAAAGACAGTATAAATGATATTATATAAATACGATCATCATTAGAAAAGTACCTAGGCATATACCTGATTTTAAATACCAAGTGTTTACACTACAGGTAATAAAAGTTATCTCAGTTAATGTACACAGATATATATCTTTTCAGGATTAACAATTCAGGCACATATTTAAGTTTAAGCATTTGAGGCTATTTGACACGTTTAATGTTAACCATGCATTTAATCAGAACAATGTTTTTATTTCAAATATGTTGTAATGTTATGCAAGTACTAGGTATTACTAAGTAATTTTTAAATAATAAAGGAGCAAAAATTAATCAAATGAAGATAGTCTTTCAAAAAGTTATAATTATTTTGCTTAAAATGAATCCCCTTATATTTTATACTATTAAAGCCATTTAATTTCCTTAATAGGAAGCCACAAGATATCAATTGCAGTCCTTGGTTATACCACTGAGGATCTGTATGTAGTATTACTGTATCTGTCTCATCAGACTTTTTAATTTAGTGTTTACAGTGTTTATTTCCATTTTGGAAGCGAAACTTCATGATATGAGAACTCTGTTTTCTCAGATCATCACCCTAGTGTATTCATTTCTTTGTTGTCTTATGTGTTGTGAAATGCTTCTATCAAATAGCGTCTAGGTATGCCAGGGAATAATCACATGTAATCACATGACGTTTGCTGTCATTGCTGTATATGCTTTCATGTTTTACCACTCTTCCCTGCTCTTTGCTTAGTATATCTATTTAGACTGTGAGCTCCCTAGGGCATCAGTTGTGAAGTACTGCATATTTTTACTGTGTTTTGGTTAGAGAGGGTAGCAGTCTTATTTACTTATAGGTTCTACAGAGAGAAATATGATAAATACAATAAAATAATTATTTTTTATAGGAGTGCTAGAATTGTTTGCTTTGGTAAGTACTGCTGGGACTTGAGGAACTCAATTTGTTTTGACTTGAAGACTGAGGAATATTTTCCTGTACTTCCATCTAAAATAGTCTTTTGGAAAATCTGGGTTATGGAAAATTGTCAAATCCATGGATACTAGAGTTTTAATATACAATCAAAGCGTCATCAATAAGTCAAGATATAGTACCTACCTAGACACATTTCATGTTGAATTTTACATGTATAAAGGTGGTAAACACTGCAGTTAAAAACATAATCTATAGATACAGCTTTCACATGGCATTGTGTATAATTTTCTGTCAGAATTAAGAGCTCATATTCTAATAAGAATATAGTTCTACTTTGAGGCTTTCTCTATCCTTTAGGATTTTCTAATCCTTTTCTTTAAAGGGAATAATAATGTTCTTTAAAAGGAATAACGCTCTACAAGAACAGCAGATTACCTAACTTCTGTCAGTGACAGAACCTAATTATGATTAATAGCAGTTTTTTACTGTGGAGAATTGAATTTTACAAAAAGTTATTTTAAGCAAATGAAGTACCAGTGATAAAAACTGAAATTCAGTAGAATCGAAAATGCTGACTGTAGTAGAAGGTGATATGTTATTATTTAACAAATAGAGCACCAAGTAAACCTGAACACTTTAGTGACATTTGAGTAGATTTTTTATGTGTTCTTATATACCCTGGTGATAAACAAAACAGTTGTCTGTTGGTGCTAATCAAAACAGTTGCCTGTTGTTGGGAAGGCTATATGAAAAATAGAAAATCTCGTTGTCACAGGCTAGTCCTTTCTGTTCTTATAGAAGCATATACTTGCCTTAAATGAGAAAGAAGATTTTTGTATTAGAATCAAATCATAGAATGGTTTGGGTTGGAAGGGACCTTAAAGATCATCTAGTTCCAACCCCCTGCCCTGGGCAGGGACACCTCCCACCAGACCAGGTTGCTCAAAGCCCCATCCAGCCTGGCCTTGAACACCTCCAGGGATGGGGCATCCACAACTTCTCTGGGCAACCGGATCCAGTGCCCTGCTACCCTTACAGTAAAGAATTTCTTCCTAGTGTCCAATCTAAATCTCCCCTCTTTCAGTTTAAAACCATTATGCCTTGTCCTATTCCTGCACTCCCTGATCAAGAGTCCCTCCCCATCTCTCCTGTAGGCCCCCTTCAGGTACTGAAAGGCCGTTATAATGTTTCCCTGGAGCTTTCTCTTGAGCAGGCTGAACAACCCCAACTCTCTCAGACTGCCCTCATAGGAGAGGTGCTCCTCTGATCATCTTTGTGGCCCTCCTCTGGACATGTTGACATGGACAGGTCCATGTCCTTGTGCTGAGGACTCCAAAGCTGGACACAGGTGTCTCAATGAGAGCAGAGTAGAGGGGCAGAATTGCCTCTCTACCTGCTCTCCACACTTCTTTTGATGCAGCCCAGGATACGGTTGGCTTTCTGGGTTGCCAGTGCACATTGCCAACTCATGTTGAGCTTCTCATCCACGAGCGCTCCCAAGTCCTTCTCCTCAGGGCTGCTCTCAATTCATTCTCTGCCCAGCCCGTATTTGTGCCTGGGATTGCCGTGACCCAGGTGCAGGACCTTGCACTTGGCTTTGTTGAACTTCATGAGGTTCAAATGAGCCGACTCCTCAAGCCTCTCCAGGTCCCTCTGGATGGCATCCTTTCCCTCCAGTGTGTTGACTGCACCACACAGTTTGGTGTTGTCGGCAAACTTGCTGAGGGTGCACTCTATCCCACTGTCCATGTGTCCGACAAACATGTTGAACAGCACTGGTCCCAGTACTGACCCCTGAGGAATGACACTCGCCACTGGCTTCCACTTAGACATTGAGTCATTGACCGCAACCCTTTGAGTGTGGCCATGTAGCCAGTTCTGATCCACCAAACAGTCCACCCATCAGATCCATGTCTCTTCAGTTTAAAGGCAAGGGTGTCATGAGGGACAGTGTCAAACACTTTGCGTAAGTCCAGGTAGATGATGTTTGTTGCTCTCCCCTTTTCTACCAATGCTGTAGTGATTTGTAGAAGGCCATCAGATTTGTCAGGCACGATTTGCCCTTTGTGAAGACAAAAAGGAATTGGAAGTCATCTCTAAAATGGATGCCATTATCTTATCTAGCCATAACATATCGCAAGCATCTAGGTAGTTTGGATTTTGCTTTAGACTTTGTTAGTTTAGTATATTTTCATGTTAGATGGCTGGAAAATAGTTCTAGAAGAAGTCTGGGACCACTTAAGGTTTTACCGGATTTTCACTACTGAAATGCAAGGAGACCTTTTTTTTAGTGGAACTTTTGCATGTATATTTTTTAATTATGCTAGGATGCAGATACCTTGTTTTTAATGAAAATGTGTAGAAAAACAGTAGTATTAAATTGAGCTTGGTTTTAGCAATGAAATGGTTTAGTACTCTTATATGTTCTACAAAAAATAAGTGAATACTGGAATATTTATAGTTTTAAAGGTGTGATGATTTTTTTTCATTTATATGTGGATACAGTGCGTTTCTTTGTTCTTACTCACCTTGGTAGAAGGATGAACTCAATGACTGCTTGCTGCTGATTAAAATGGAACACCATAAAGTGCTCTTGAAAGTACTCCGTATTAGCCCTTTCAATTTGTTGTTGATTACTAATCAGAGAGATATAATTTTTTCCTAATATAGATTTTTCCTATTCCTCTTAAAAATAAACATAGCCCTTTCTTTCTTCATCCCTACAAAAAAACCCCGCAATCATCCACCCAATCAAAAAAACCTAGAAAATTATGTCAGAAAAACAAATGTAATAAAACCTTTTCAGTATAAAAATTAAGTACTCAGAAATGTAGGAAATAGTAGAGCTTAGTGAGGATTTCCCTTCTATTTATGCTCTTTTGTGCAAACTTTAATTACATGATCTCATAATAATCTTGTGTGTTGGGAAAGTTATTTCAGAGTCTGCAAAAGCTGACATAAATGCTGATTAACTATCTCCTCAACTTCTGGTATGGGTGATCTTATTCCAGAATAAAATTATCTATGAATGGAATTAA